GGGGGGGGGGGGGGGGGGGGGGGGGGGGGGGGGGGGGGGGGGGGGTGTTAGGGTCCATTGGACGGGCTCTTGCTTGCGTGTTTCATAGGTGAAGTTTGCAGTACTGTGGTCTACGGTAGATCTTTCAGTTTTCTCACCCCAAACGAAAGGGATGCAGTGTACGAGTGTGAGTACATAAATAAAGAATCGTCGGTATCAAGAGATACGGCTACCGGAGACTTTCCGAGAATGATCGGGAAAATGCCCAGGAATAGAAAACACACAAATACTTGGACGGAAAACGGTGTCAGCGATAAATACTCGGCTCGTGGGTTGGGCTACTATTCAAAAAGGAGGTGCCTTCCAACTGGAGTTGAGGAAAAATCAGGGAAAAGACCGCGGGGGGGGGGACGTCGAGAATTACCGAACAAAGCGGTTGCACGGCGGCACCAAGAGCAGCGGGTCGACGACGTCTGCGCGCTCTGCCAACGTTTTCTTTGACACGCGCGTCTATATCCCTCGCCCCCCCCCAAAAAAGGCATGTATGATAACAAGTGTGCGAGTGTCATGCCTGCTGCAGCTACTGCACTCCTCTCTGCTACACAGAGCCGCCGCCGTTGGTTAACCGCTAGACAGGGCACACGCCGCACAAAGAGCGACTCCACCACTATTTACTGCTGTCACCACGTCCATCATCTCCACCCCTCCCGCGCCTACCTTGGAACCACCCCCTATGCTAATCTTGATTTTCTCCCCCTGCTTGAGGCTCAAGTCGACCTTCGGTGTCGCGGCAGCCGCCTTCCCCCCATCCCCGCCCGAGTCGCCGCCACCCTGCCCGCCCTCCTTTAGCTTAGCGCTCCGCTCAATGTCCCTACTCGCGTAACAGATCAAGAACGGGTCAGACAGGTGGCGGTTTGTTCTGGGTTGGTATACCATAAGGCAAGCGTGTAGGTCGGGGGGAAAGCGCGGACGTGAGCAGGGTTGATAAGAGAATGGAGTACCTCCGCCGTCATTGGCCTGACGACTCACTGAGGCGCCGGTAGCTGCTTGGTTCCCACCAAGCCCACCACCACCGCTACCCAGAGTGGCAACAACAACACCCCACCAACATCACGCCAACACTACCAACCTGCAACAGAGGACCCAACACATCAAGCAGCAACAACCACAACCGAGTACGAACACCATCACCACCACCAGCAGCAGCAGCAGCAGCAGCAGCAGCAGCAGCAGCAGCAGCAGCAGCAGGAACACCAGTAACACCGCTAGCTTGGAATGCTCCTTCCACTCCAACCAGCGACACCGTCACCACCACCGTCAACACTAGCTTGACTGCTCGTTCTACTCCAACCAGTGCTCTTTGACACTCCCTCCGCCTCTACACCCCCACCCTCACCCCCGGGGCTACCGCTGCCACGCACTGGACTTTTCCTTTCCGTAGGTTGCACAAGATAAACACACTTACGTAACATGTCATTCCCCTCTCAAAAAGGTACAGAATACCACACCCGTGTGCTTTTCTTTTTAGCCCCGAACACAACGCCATTTTCTCACACGGTGACACGAGATACCCCCCCCCCCCCCCCCCCCCCCCCCCCC